GAAGCCGCGCGGGAAGGGTCTGCGCGCCCCCTCGACAGCCGCGAAGGGAGCGGAACAGCTGGGGAGGGGGGGACCTCGGGGAAGACGAGGCGGGGGGAGGAGAACAGGTGGTGCAGAAAAGCAGAAATGTAGGTGTGCTGGGCCAGAGGACAGCTGGGGTAGGACGAGGGTAAGGGAGGTGCGGGGATCAAGGGAGCGTGGAAGAGCACCTGAGGGAACAGAGAGCGGAGCAGTCTGGAGGAAGGAGGAGGGCGGAGAGCGAGTCCGGGTGTTGAGAGGTTGCCGAGGCTGGGACTGGGACACCTGGGAACAAAGGTGAGCGGGAGGCTCCGCAGGTAAGGAGATTTAGGGAGCCGAGAGTGTAAAGAGAAAAGGAAGTCCATAGCGAAGGAGGGAGGAGGACGTTATTCCTGGGGCATAAAGGACCCTAGGTGAGAAAGGGTGGGGTGGGGGACAGCTTTCTCCCAAATCCCCACTCCTCCCCAAAGAAAGAGACAAACACCTTTCCTTTGATCCAGGTGAGAAGAGCAGTGCTAGAACCCCTGTGAGACAAATACCGACTCCAACCATCGTGTTCTGTTGTGAAATTTATCTCTTCCCATATTACTCCCCATCTTTTTCGAAGTGTATTGATCAACTCTGGCCTACACTTGATGTTCTGTAAAAGACCCTTGAACGGTGGGATCCCGGGAAGGGCCAGACTGAGAGCAATGCCGTCCTCCACGGGTCTAGCCGCAAGTCAGAAGGAGGCCCAGGTCCGGCCCTAAGAAAGAAGGTGATTTGGGGGTGGCAGGTGAGGCTCCGCCCTCTCCGCCTTCACCCGGAGGAAGGTGTTCTAGGCGGAGCTCGGACGCCCACAGGCTGGGCCCGGAGATGGGAAGGGCGCCTGACCCCGGCACCCTCACCGCTCGCTGCGCGAGCTACGGGTGCGCCAGGTGAGCAGCCCCGCCCTCCGGCCTCGCGCCCCGCCCTCCTCGCGCGGGGCGGAGCCTCCACGCCCCGCCCAGCGGTTGGGCCCTGCCGCGCCGCTGCGGCTCCTCGCCCCTCCTTCCGTCGGCCGTTCCTTCCTTCCTGCTGCTTCCGCACGTTTCGCGATATGGGGCAGAGCCTCTAATCCGCTCGCACCTGCTGAGGATCCTGGAAACCGTGTCCGTGATGGAAGAGGACCAGGAACTGGAGAGGTAAATGCCAGAGAGACTGGCGGGGGGGGGGGGGGGGGGCGGAGCGGGCCGCGCCCAGCGAGGGAAGCGGGCGGCCGCGGGGCACGCGGCCCGGCTGGGGCCTCTGCCTCCTCCGTACGGCCTGGCTGGGAGGGCCCGACTCCGGGCGCCGAGGAGAGGGAGGAGAGAGGAAGAGGGCAGTCGGATTAGGAAGAGAGGGTAGGAGACGATGGGTTTGCTTGAAAAGAGACACCCCGAGGGACGCTAGCTATCAGGGATGGAAGACAAGTTAGGAGACCGGAATTAAGCCACCAAACTGCCCACCCCCCGCTTCAGCTGCGTGTAAAATCACGTTCCAGGCCACTGTTCCTGAGTGTTGGTTCTGGTGTGTTTCGTCAGGCCTAAGTCCCTGTAACTATCGGTACCGTTTCTTCTCTGTGCGGACTGCTCTTAAAGCCGATCCTCTGTGCGCTCAGCTCTTTGCTCCCTCCTGCTAGATTCTTTCAGACCTTCCCTGTTGTTTACCTCTTGCAAGTAGAAGCCATGGTTGGGCCTGCACATTGCTGATCTATAGTCTCTAGTATATGCTAGAGCAATCTGTGTTTTTCTACTGTCTTCAACTCCCTTTTCATTCTCCAGAAGACCCAATTCTATTCTGACCCTTTTTTGTGAGTCTACCAAAATAATATTTTTGCAAACATTTAACTTTGTGTTTTTCTAAGAAGACTCCCCTTGTGGCCAATGTAGATGGTCAAATGAAATAGGAAGGAACTAGAGGCAGTAAATTAAATATTTATTAATAAAATTTGTGAAAGTAGGAAAATGAAACTAATATTTCTATGTAAATTGAGTGGATTTTTGTAATAATGTGTTGCAGTTGGGATGTAGTAAATGAAAAAAACTAGTTACGAAACAATATTCAGTATGATCTCATTTTTATAAAAAATATGTGTGTAGAAAAATATCTGGATTGAAGACCTCAATGGCTGAAGGCGAGAGGAAGACAGCCCTGGAAATGGTCCAGGCAGCTGGAACAGATAGACACTGTGTGACATTTGTATTGCACGAGGAGGACCATACCCTAGGAAATTCTCTACGTTACATGATCATGAAGAACCCAGAAGTGGAATTTTGTGGTTACACTACGACCCATCCTTCAGAGAGCAAAATTAATTTGCGCATTCAGACTCGAGGTGCTCTTCCAGCTGTTGAGCCATTTCAGAGAGGCCTGAATGAGCTCATGAATGTCTGCCAACATGTGCTTGACAAGTTTGAGGCCAGCATACAGAACTATAAGGATCAAAAAGCAAGCAAAAGTGAATCCACATTCTAGTCCCTTCTGCAGTGTACATGAAGGACTATCCTCTAGGATATTCTCTTTGTGATCGTGCAGAACCCAGAATTAAAAGTTTGTGATGGCAGCATGCTCTGTCCTTCATCTGTAACCCATTACAGATGTTGGAATCCCTGCAAGAACCTTTGTATCTTCGAATAAATTCCCTCTTATTTAAACTAGTTTGAATGGTTTCTGTTCCTTGCAACTAAGTGATCTCCAAGGATGACTTTTAGTTAAGCCAACATTGAAAGTGAGAAAATCAGAGGCCTTGACCAGGACTTTAATATGGGAATTAAAAGGAATATACATTCAGGTCCGTAGTTGAGGTGGGTGAAGGGAAAAGATGCAGTAGAGCCTGATCGTAGGTAGACTGGCTAGTTTAGACAAAGAAAGAAAGAAGGTTGGGATAGGGGGACTTGACTCCTTGTTAGATGTTTTAGTAATTAATGAGAGAATTGTCTTCTTTGCTGTGATTGGTGGAAGAGAGAGACAATACCCTTAACAGGGTCTGTGATTCCCTTTCCCCAGCCCTCTTGCTGTTTAGAATCTTGAGTTTCAGTGTGCCCAGTGTATTTCAGGTAAGTTCAGGATCAGAGCCTGTAGTAGGCTATGTGGCTTCCAGCACTGCAGGCCAGTTTACTACTACCTGCACTACCATGCCTGAGCCTTTACAGTGTTTGTAATTTTTTAAGTTTTGTCCAGCTTGATGATTAATTCACCCTAAATATGTCAGCCTGTTAATCTGAGCACTATACCTTCTAGTGCTCTGTGCTTTGGCACTTTTTATAGGGCACATGTGCCCCGCCAAAGCTGGGGATGTGTAAAAATCAGCCCTGGAAAGATGGCCATGCCACAGTCCCTTCTCCACTCTCAGGATTCTGGGCACGCATGCACATGTGCTTAGCTGATTCTCAAGTCACTGGGTCTGGGATTCGAACCATAGCCAGCTGTGCGGGATCTAGTGCCTTAACTTCTACACCACCTGCTGGCCCTGGCATCTTTATGATGCTCCCTCTTTCTGGAACAGTCTTACTCCTGCCATACTTTAGTCTTAGTCAAAGCTTAGACTCTCCAGTCTAGTTTGGGTATTTGTGCTTTCATTACACGTTGTTTCTGGTATGCGATTGGTTTTTTTTTTTTTTTTAAAGAACTATTTTATTTAACTTTATTTATTATTATATCATTATTATTTTTCCATTTTGATCAGAGAGAGACGGAGAGAGAGAGGTAATGAGAAAGCAAGCCACCAGGTCCAAGACTTGAACTGTGGTCGGCCATGTGGGAGTCCAGCACCTTTAACCACTACACCACTTGCCGGCCCCTGGTATGCTATTGTTAGCATTTATGTTGTCTACCCACTATACCAACTTGTTCATCAGTGTGATCCCAGTAGCTAGCATAGCACCCCACAGATAGCACGCACTTAAGTAAATACTGGGTGAATTCATGTAGTCATGCTTTGTTATGTTCAGTCACTCAAATCTGACTTGCCATCCTGCCATAGATCCTGTGTTTTCTACACTCAGCTTTTTAAAAGAACTTTATGTATTTATTGAGCACTTGGTATGTACCAGGCCTTAGGGATAGATATACAAGAAGACTTGAAAAAGTTTGTGGGGAAACGGAATCTACTTTTTCTATAAAAATTAATTTTGGTGCAAAACTTTTTTTGAGACCCCAATGCCTAATTTTTTAATAATAAAATTTGTTCATGAACTTTCTGAAAAACCCCTTGAACTAGTGCATGAGTCAATAGCCCTGTTTTCATGAAACATAAAATAGTAATTCTATGAAATAAAACTTAAGAGTCAAGATAGAAAATATGAGGTGAATGGGAAGGCAGGGAACATCAGGAAGAGGAGGTGAGAGATGATGTATTCTGATGGAATGACAGCTGAATTCCTGAAGCAGAGAACCGGTGGCTTGAGGCCTTAAGGGTGTTGGGAAAGATTTGCTTGTTTGTAGCATAGTAAATGAGGAGAAAGGCTTGTCCTGTGCGTTTGATGGTAGGAAGAACTGAGATGGTAAGTAGGTTGAATTTTATGAAGAGACTTGAAAAAGTTCTTGAAAAAATAACTAAAATATAGGTTTATTTTGGTACAGAAAAGTTTTTTAAAATCTATGCATAGATTTTTCATAATACGTATTTTTTAAGAACTTTTGAAGATGCCTCTTATATTCCCATTTGTAATGGGAATAGTTATATAGTTATATATAGTTATATTCCCATTAGTAATGGGAATAGTTGAAGTGACTTGGGAGGGTGATAAGGTAATGATGGGGAAAAGAGAGTGGATTTGAGGTGTATTTTAGAACTCAATTGGTACAGAATTCATAGACCTTAAGAACTGGAGATGAGAGGTGAGGAAACATGACTGCCCAGGTTACTGAAATGGAGAAGCTTAAAGGGAGATATAGGATGGTAAGTGGGAAAGGTGGCAGGAGTTCAAAGTTTTGTTTTGAACATTATAGGCAGTATGTTTTTGAGTTGAAAGCCATAGAAGAGATTGAAGCTGTAAATAAACTGAGACCTTGCCATATAAATCCATTTAAAAAATGAGTGACAAAGAAGTGGGCTCTGGACCAAGCCCTGGGCAATCTCAGTATTAAAGTTTGGCTAAAAAGAGCAACCAGCAAGTTGGTAGGAAAGTCTGCAGAAAGTAAGAGTTGTGGAAGCCAACCAAGTCTTTCAAAAAGGGGAGAGTTGAATGAGTCAGAGAAGTACAAAAATCATTCTTTATTAGTGTTGACATTGAGGCCATTGGGCAGCAGGCATCATTGGTTTAGAACTGAAGAAGGGTAAACAACATTCATTGTGTGAGGGAATGAACACTTTATTTGGAGTTTACCCATGACAAAAATACAGTAGACATTGGAAAGGTGGATTTAGGAGGAGCAGGGGAAAGATAGACATCATCAGGAAGGATGTAAAATATTCTCTTAGGGTGAAAGAGATTCTGAAAAGTCAGTATCTGTAATTCTTAAGGAATTAGCACTTGAGATGAAGCTCAAAGGGGATAAAGGAAGAAGGATCAAAAACTTCTTCAAAAATTTTGTTTCTGGATAGACCTACAGGGATAGTAAATATTTGGATGAAGCTTAATTCTTCTGAACAAAGGCCTGTCAGGAGATGAAAACCAAGTCCAATATAGACATAGAGATACTGAGTGATAATAGTAAACTGGAGTAATTAATAACATAGAAAACATACCCACTAGCGATGGCCTATCACATCTCCTGTCTTCATTGTACCTGAAAGAATTTATTGCTGCTGCTGATGCCACATGCATTCTTAAATCTGTTTAGCATGGCTGTTAACTCATAGTTCATATGAAACACCTTCAGAAGGCAGATGGGTAAAGGGAAAAAATTGAGATGAGGTCAGGCATGATGATCCAGAGTTCCTCATAGAAATACGTTCAGCTGCAAAATACTGTGTCTTATTAAAGAGCCAGTTATTAAATAATATGACTATCTACCAAAGGCTTTTAATGTATAATAATTCTGAGTACTGTGCTTGTTTAGCACTTTCCATTTTCAAAGTACTTTACAAATTATTTATGAATTTTATATAGCCATAACTTCTAAGTGCTCTAATTAATTGGTATAACTTATAGGTTCATACAGAATCTGGAGAAATGGAAGTGATCCATTCAGTGTTGACCCAGAATCTCTTGTATTTCAAGAACTATGAAAGCATATCAAGTTCTATGACCCCCCCCATTCCCTATTCATTTTTTATATTTCCTTTAAATATGTTATTAAGATTGAGATAAAAGCTCCAGATCACTAGCCAAAAATCATCTTTTTGGCTAGCATAATTTAGAATTAGAGACTGTGTAACACCCCTCAAACTGAACTCATAAGACGTTTACCCAGACCTATTAGTTCACTTCATGTATATATAAAGACCCTATATCCAGCCCTTTTGTGTTCAAATTCTTAATGTTCATTCTCAAACTACAAATATCTTGGAGCAGTTACTGTGTGAGTCTATGTATTATTTTTTATAATGAAATTCCTCCCAACCCTCAATTGGATCTCTAATTGTCTAGCAGTATACATCAGTATATACTTAGTAGTAGAGTCCTCAGAAATGGTAGAAATAAGAAAATCTAATAGGATTCTTTTCTAAAATGCCTTATATGTGGGCCAGCAGGTGGTATGGTGGTTAAGGTGCTGGATTCCCACATGGCTGACCACGGTTGGTGTCCCAGACCTGACAACTTGAAAATCACACTAGGCACGCTCAAAATCCAGAAGGCAAATGGATGAGGGATAGTAGTGTGGCCATACCTCTTTGGTGGTGGTGGGGGGAGTGATTTCACTTTCCCTCCCTCTGTCCCTTTACAGCACATAGATGTGACCTGTGGCTAAAATCTAAAACAAACGAGAAGAAAAGATAAAAGGCTTTTGTGGTTTTGAACAGGGCATAGGAGTTGTCTGCATGAAAATGAGCAAATTATTTTTACAATGAAGTGCCCTAGTACAGTGTAGAGTACTAAAAGCTGTGCTGAATACGGAATGAAGTAGGTAAGAGCAGTGATGGTTTCATGATCACCCACTGCCAGCCAGTGTCCTGGAACCAAGCACAGCCAACAAGACAGGCATGGACTGCCTTCTGGTAACTCATGGAATATTGAAGTTAAGGGATCTATTTAGTATAGAGTTCCAGGATAAATGGTTCTCTCTTTCATGGTGAGAACCCTTAAAGATACTTGAGCTAGGAAATGCCATAAAGTTTTATTTTTCTAGTCCCCTGTGTGCAAACTGAATGAGTGAAGGACACATTGAATGACAGTGGTGAGTTAGGAGGCATTCATAGTAGTCTGGGAGTAATACAAGGAAGGCACTAACTACTACAATTGTAAGAGTGTGATAAAAGGATGGACACAGTGTTAAAAAAGAATTTCATAACTTGGAGACAGAGTCTATGTAGGGGTAAAGATGAGAGAAATGTTGAGAGGCCACATTTATATAACCTTCATTACACAAACAAAAAACCTTAGTAGCTTCTTTTATATTTTGCTTCCTTCTGTCCAAGGCAGCCCTCTCATATAAATTTGTAGACCCCTGCATAGTAGGTTACCTGTCTGTTGAAACATTAAAAAAAATTTTCTAAGGAATCAGCAGGTGGCATAATGGTTATGTCACTGGACTCCCAAGTAGTCAACCAGTT